TCTACATACATACGTGTGTACATATTATAACTCAATATCCAACTTGAACCAATCTCTAATTCTACTTATTATATGTATTTGTTTTCTTCTAAGTTTCTATAAGAATCTGGTCATTTAGATCATTTCTTATCAGAAGCTGACCACCAGAACAGCTGCAGAGTTCTCAGACCTTCAGTAACACAGAAAACGTTCTTATATTCATTTTTAAATAGAATACCTCAGATATTTCACCTCAGGAGGAGGTCAGAGGTCAACATTTGCTGCAGTAGCGTCCCTGCCCTGTTTGATGACTGGACGTGGAGTTCTGGATCTGGTGGTCCATCTATACCTGAACCCCCTCAAAATCCTCAAGTGTCCCAGAACTGCGCCCTGCGGTCCTCACTCCAAACTCTCCTTTTCAGCTCTTTATCATTGTCCGGGTGGTTTTTGCCTTGCAGCAGCTTTGAAATGGTTTTTAGACGTTTTCTCCTCACATCAGGTTCTGTTCAGCTGATATGTCACAAAGTAAACTGAGAAGGTGATGGATCAGAGAAAAGTCAGTTTGTTCCAGAGTCGAATGCAAAAATAAAAAAACTAAAGGTAAGATCAGTTTCCTCCCTGCAGATTGTAGAAATTCAACTTTTTTTTCTGAATAAACTGCAGTTTTATTACGTAAATGTGTGTCCGCGTGCGTGCGTGCGTGTGTGTGCGTGTGTGTCGGTGTGTGGAACAGGAAGTAGTGGGTTTGTGGGTTGGGCTCGGAGCCGCTCTGATCGCTCCTCTGCGCACAAACCGAACCTCCGTGGACCCAGCTGGACGGTTCCCTGAAGGAGGCTGCTCGGAGGTTCGGAGGTCCGAACCCCCCCCCACCCCACCCCCCGCTCCGCTGCTGCTGGACCCGTCTCCTCGGTAAGACCCGTTTTTGTCTGACGCGTTCGGTTCACGTCGCGCGCACCGAACCCGAGAAAGGCGCATCTGTTTATTCAGGTCATCAGATTCTGCACGGACCTCGGAACCGGGTCCGGACTCCATCGTGCCTGTAAACCGGTACCAGTTCGTCTGCATTGTTCTGCCAGGAGGTGTGAGTGGGAATGGGGCTGGCTGTTTTTATGGGGGTTCGGCTGGACCCGGGCCAGCCTGGTTTTTAATATGAACAGATGGGATTTAAATGTTTGCAGCCGCTCGAGGGTTTGTGCCTAAAATCTGTTTCAGATGCTTCGAATCTTCCATTTTTGTCACATTTATTAGATTCCCCGTCATATTTGTTCTCTGCATCCACTGGTCCTGTCGATTCCAAAACGTTTCATTCCAACCTGAGTGCACTGCTGACTCAGCTCAGGTCCTCACACCCATCCATCCAGAGCTCCTGGTCCATGATCTGGGCTCCTGGTCCACAAAACTAGGCAGAGGAGACCGGCTGTCCACCTGCAGGCTTACATAACATGCTGGAAGTTTGTGGGCTGGATGATGATGTTGATGATGATGATGGTGTGTAGGAGCAGGATATGATGAGGTTGGTTACCATACCTGGAGTCAGACTGGCTGCAGAGTCCTGGTCCAAAGCTGAGAGCAGTTTCTTCACACGACCGAGTTCTGTCATGAATGTTGTGATCATGGATGATTAAAGCCACCGAGTCGTTTGCTGCTTCACACATTGTGCCAAAAACAACAAAACAAAAGCCTCTGTGTTTGTTTGTTTTTAAAACCTCCTCCGTTGTGTCTTTTTAATGCTGTAAATTTAATTTATATAGGATTTTTAAAAACGTCAAAAACGACCAAAGTGCTTTACGAGTTGCTTCAAATCACACATAATAATAGAAGTAAAACCAGATCCCAGCATTCGTGTGGGACTCTCTGGAACGCATCGAAACGTTCGCAGGATGCGGGCAACAAAAGAACGTGTGCAGCCACGAGCGCAGTTTTCTAATCCACAAATATAAAAGTAAGTTGTTGTTTTAAAAGTGTGCCGGCGCGGCTCGCTGCTCGCTCTGATGCTTCCAGACGGCAGCGTCTTGTTCTCTGAGCTTAATAAAAGAGCTATCTTCAACAGGTAAGATATTCATTTTATGTAACGTTCTTCAACCCCACCGGCCAAAATGTCGCATAAGAACTATTTTCTTTGTTGTGCGTGTAAATAAACACAAACACTCTCAGTATTGACAACTTATTCTTTAATGGCCTCAGTTTTACCTGATTAGTCTCCGTGTGGTTTATAAATAGATTTGGAAAACAAGATGTAACTTTAACATCAACTATTCTAAACTCAAGCTCAGTCCTTTCCTAAACCAAACTAAATTGTTTGGGTTTGGGAACCTGGTGTCTGCAACCTGCGGCTCTGGAGCCACATGCGGCCCTTTGGTGCCTCTGCAGCGGCCATAAGTTTTGATCAAAACTAACATAAAACTTTTTATTGGTTCTTGTACCCAACAACAAAAAATGGCTAGTTTTAGCAGTTTTCCGCGCATTTCTTCTGCCAACATGTGAATGATACTAACTCAAGGATTAAAACGTGTTTACATCATGCTAGTAGTTTGTTAGCCACTTCTTTTAGCTCACTTCCAGTCTTACGATGTGATCTGTTTCTCAAATCCACCAACTTTTTTGGGGATACCTTGATACAATGGAGTATACAGGGCCATGCTAAGAAAAAAAATGTAATTACGAGAAAATGTCATGAAATTATGAGAAAGTCATAATAATACGAGAATAAAGTTGTAATATTATCAGAACTGCGACATGAAAAAGCAGTCTTACAACTGCGGTAAAATGAAGAATATTGAGCATCTTGTTAAGTTTTACTTTGGTATTAGTTTTACCAATAAGGAAGTACTGAATCTGTTGGCACATCAGCATCTATGACGGAGTATTAATGTCACGCTGTTATTCTTGTATTATTTAGACTTTATTCTCTTAATATTATGAATTTATTCTCATAAGACTACGACTTTATTGTCGTAATATTTCGACTTTACTTTATTCTCGTAATTTTATGAATTTTTTCTCGTAATGCTATTTTGTTTCTTAGCGTGGCCCTAATGCTCCATTTGTACCTTTTAAGGCAAGTTGAAAAGAAATAGAAAAGTTGAGAGGAAATATAGTGGGTCAACTTGATAACAATTAAAATAAATAAATAAATAAATAATCAAAGTAAATGGAAGAATTTAAATTTTCATTTAAAGCTCTCTTGGCCTAATTTTTTTTTAACTTTATGCTTTATTACTTCATACTAGGATACTTTTTGAATTGTTTCCACAATTAAAAATAAATCACATAAGTCTGTGTACTTGTTTGAATTTTTATAAAATTGGTTAAAAAAAAATTCTTATTTACATAAATCCAGTCTTTTCTTTGGCCCCAAAATAAAAAAAAAACAACCCAAAATATTAATAATAACTTGATACTTTAGTTTTATATTATCACACCTACTGGCTGGAAAAGCCCCGTCCAACAGGCCTGAAGTGGCCCATGGGCCACCAGTTGATAACTACAGTTGTAGCAGGTTTTATGGCTCCGTAGACGTTTTGTTCAGTGTGTAAAGGGCAGAAATGGCTCTTTTGATCAGAAAAGTTCCAGACCCCTGAAAACGGCGATTTCTGCTGAGAAAACTGAACAAAGCAGTTTAGGCTCCTAAACCTAAACATAATTATTTTGACTAATCTGAACCAACCGCTGTGGTTACTAAACCTAAAAGAAAAAAAAAAACCTTAGCGCCTAATAGGGGCTCTTCCAGTGCAGCTTCCAGTACCGGACACTGTGGAAACGAGAGTGTTGGACTCGGTTGAATTTTTAAAGCTGAAGTAATTTAACCCCTTTAGTTCAAGTCTTGTTTGTCTGTCTGCTCTTAGCCTTTCTGAGCAGTTATAAACTCAGCGTTTTATTGATGATTTTCTAAAAAAAAAACGGGAAAAGATGAATTTCTCGGTTTATTGATTTGGGTGCTCAGTGCTCAGATGATGTTTCCACTCAGGCTCCGTGTTGCCACTCACTGAGCACGGTACAAGGTTGATAAATGTTCCTTGGATGTTGGACAGGTTTTAAATGGAGACATCAAACATGGCTTTTACCCTTAAAGACAAATAGCATGATGAGCACGGAATATGTTTTTTGTTAGAAAAAACAAGCTAATATCTGTTGCCATTTTAGTGTTTCAAATATCCCACTGAAGTTTCACCACTTGTCAGTTTCTGTAGAAACATGATGGGAAAGTGTGCACGTGTGGGAAAGGGTTCTAAACTGGACATTTTGCAGGACGTTATTTTCCTGGTTATGAAATGTCTTGTATGGGTTAAAATTAGACAAGATTCTGTAATATTGTCATAAATGAGAAAAATTAACTTTGATTTTTAATTATCAGTGACTGGAATGTGTCTTTGAAGCAGTGCGATGCAGAAACATAACATCATGCTATTTTATACTTTTGTCCTGTGTGTGGCTCTTCTAGGCATAAAAAAGGTCACAATCAAAGCTTGGAATGTCAAGTCAAAATCCAACATGGCCACCACTATATATGT